GGACACAGAGAAGATCTCTGTTTAACAACTATATTTTTTAGAATGTGGCATATATTATAAATGATATAAAGTATAAAACAAATGATGAGTATAAATGGAAATTCCATCAGATATTAATGAAGAGAGTGATCAGTATGATTCAGCATGGGCAGGAAAGGTGGAGGTTAGCCACGGATAGATTCAGAGATACGGCAAAGTAAGATAGTATTATAGACAGGGAGATTAACAGAGCCTTATTGGGAATGTAGAAACATTATGGAAAAAAAATACTTGATTGATTCTTTTTAGCAACTGTCATAACCCAAGAGAATAATGTAGAAATTTAAATAATGGAAAATAGGATAGCTTTGGGGTAGAAAGACAAACATAATTGAAGATGAAAGGTAAGAAGGATGTTAGTTTGCACTACGGACCCCTAGAAATATCTGTGTGTGAAATTGAGGAATTTGAGAGATGCGGGGGAAGACAGACTTTGACAAAAAATTCCCTTTCCACATTTGACAAAATAATGAGAATGACAACTAACATATGTGCCAGGAACTTTTCTATGTGTTTTACAATTATGTTTCACATATAAACTTTACAACATAAAGGTACCTTCATTTTGTAGATAAAGAAACTGAGACACAGAGAGAACATATAACATGTCAAAGGTCAGACAGAAGTTATATGATAGAGCTAATTTTCACAACCAAACAGTCTGTACAAAATGAAGTTTTGAAGTATATTTATGTTGTGGAGTGGTTAAATCTAACTAGGTAACGTGTGTATTACTACAGTTATTATTTTTGTGGCAAGAAAACTTCCTTTCCATTCACTTAACATTTTAAAGGAATATATATTATTATGTTGTATAAAATAATAAGTATAATTTTATCTGTAAATTAAAAATAAAACTCAGAAAAATCATTAAAATAATCCAAATCAATCTGATTCCAAAGTCTGCATCACAAGCCCCACCCCTTAGTCCTCCTATGATGCTGAGGGGTGAAGGTACATGAAAGACTACTAATGGAAGCAAAGGAGAGATTTAAAAGGAGCAAACAAATAAAAGGAGTATAAATTTGTAGAAAATACTTATTACAAGCCAGTTTGTGGCAGTTATATGTGTGTGTATGTGTTCAATATGCGGCCTATTATGATCATCTTAGAGGAAAGCAAATACTTACTGCCTTTAAAAATCTTCATGTTAGTACATATTAGTAAGGAATCAAAAAGGCACTTGATAGAGTAAATGTAAGTGAAGGCCAGAGGGGAAATTTCAG